GCGAGGCATGCGAATCGCAAGTCATTTTTTTTCAGCGTGCTGTTTCATATGCCTTGCAAGGGAAGACAGGTGGCTTCTGGAAGGAAAACCAACGCACCCGTGGAAACCAACGTTCTATGCTTGGGTGTTGGTCCGAACGCTGAGCAATGGACACGTATAGCTCGGTCGTAAGGTGAGGTGAGTTAACCCCCCCTCCATTGGGCCGCCCGCCATAGCAAAATCCCCGGTGCCTTGTGAGGATGTACGTTGTACCCTTTTTGGACCTAGTACATCCTTACAAGGTAAGAGACCCTCTGGCCATGGAAACGAATGGCCACCTACAAGACTAACCTCCAGTAGAGAGGTTAGAATACGGGTAGCCGTTTGTTTTTCCTGCAGTCTTCTTTAGTAGGAATCGGAACCCTCCCCCGAAAAAAAAAGAAAGGGTAAAAGTTAGCACCTAGCTGGGTGGCCTTGTTGAAGCTAACCTTCTTCACAAACGCAATCAATTCCCTTGCACGCTACAAACCCACCGAATCCTAGTGGAACAGGGATGCCACGTGTTTTTAGGGCTGTTCAACATGGGGGTCGATCAAAGGTCCGAGAAACATGGGATGACCATTCGGGAGAACCAGTAAAACTCACTGGCCGAGTGGATGGCCCAAAAAAAGTCCAAACCTTGTATTTACCACCAAAATGGTCTTCCCCAAAAGCTTAAAGTTCATGAACTCAGGAAGTGAGAAAAAGGATATATGTTGTCACTAAATGGGAAAAGTGACCCATGGTCATTTGGGGGCCAGGAATATCGACCAACCCCCACAGGTTCGCCGTTTCCGAACTTCAACGAACAGGGGACGCTGTTCCATCTGAGTTGAACCTCACGACTGACCCTGGAACCAAACCCATTGCCTCATGCGTCTGAGGCACAGCGCTCCAAATATGTCGCGTGAAGCACGGAGACCCAAGAGGAAACTCAGCAAGCTGGCAGAAAAGGTGCTTGAAACGAGCTTCGGGAGCGCTGCAATAGCTGCTGTTGGGGGACCTACCTAGACCCTCAGACTACCCTTGAAGCAGGCATTTCACCCCATCATTTTTTGGGGCAATGACCCGTTTTTAAGGCTAGTTTGAGGGTCCAGGTAGTGCCATCCCTCCTTAGGGGGGACCGGAATCCAGGTGTTACGACTGGGACAGGTATATCCCACCTGCGGAAACCTAGCTGTGGGTCAAGAATAGGTACCCATTGAAATACCCTGGTGAATGGAAATCTGTGGTTCCCTGGTGGTTTCATTTTGACCCCCCCCACCTCCCGCCCGCTCCCGTGATCTCCTGCGACGCATCGCACCATCTGCTGGAGAACGCGATGCGTCCAGACTTGATCTCGGCGAGGGCTTGAAAGGCCCCAAGTCGACTGCAAGTGTTCGCGGCTTGGTTGAGGACTCCTTTAACTTGGTTGACGTTGGAAGGGGAGCCAAAATTCAAACTTTAGCAGTTAAGTGGGGATTTCCCACCAAACCACAATAAGCAAAAAAGTAAAATGCTTCCCAACAACAACCGAGTTAAAGGGAACCCCCTTTTTTGTTGAGGGAAACCGAGAGGAGTCTGTTGCAAAAGGGAATCCCTAGAAAAAAACACCTAGAAAAAACACCTAGCTTCCCACCATTTCTGGGTGACTTATTCATTGGCCAATCTGGAAGAATAATTGGGCAACTTATTTCCACACCATTTGTGGGTAACCAAGCAGAAATGAGAAAGCAGACCCCTGAAGATCTAAACGGGGTTGCTCCACGGAAGTTGGTCGAGATGCGGCCCCAGGCACCCCGGGTAAATCAAACATGGGTTTGACTCCCTTTGCTTAAGTTCCATGAAAAAACAAACACACATATTTCCAGTGGTATAGGTTCCCTTTCTTCAAAAAAAACAACAGGGGAAAATTCCTTGAGCAAATGGAAGTTAGGGAACCCAAACTGGTGGTTGTCCTATTGGTGTCCCTTCGACGCAAGCTAAGACTGTCGATTCCCAAAAAGAAGACTCATTCATATGCTCGGACATCAGCTTCAATTTTTCATGCCCAGGAGCCGTTTGTAGGCATTCTCGACATGCAGATGCATATGTCCACCCGTTATATTGAACACTCCACATGGCTGACCCACAATGGAGGTTCCCTGGTTTCACAAATGTGGGAACCCCCCCCCCTTTTTTGGCCCTGATACCAAAACACATGGGGATTGTGGTTTGTGGTGGTCGTCTTCGTGGCATTCCCCTTCGAAGCAACCCAAAAGGTACCCTCGAAGAGACGACAAATCACACATCTCGAGAGTTGGGTCCGACCACTTTCCCTAGGCCCAAACGCCGCCAGAACTTCGAAAAGCGCGACTCTTGCCGCGCGCGCCGACTCGACTCGACTCGAGCGAGCGAGAAAAAAATAAAATAAGGCGCTCGCCTCCTCTTCGGATGCAAAGGGCACGGTGCCGCTCATCAAGTTGTACCTCGAGCTCGGAGCTCCAGCTTCCAGCCCTCTCTCGGACACCCAACTGGCTGGGTAGGGGGCGTGCCACCTATCTGAGATAAAGCTGGGACAAACGGCAAAATCGAACCTGCGTGGAGGTTCAGTCACCTGTTGCTTGCCCACATCGTTGAATGACAACTGCCCTTTGAAAGCAACATGGCAAATAACGATTTCATCAAAATCACATCTCAACACCCAACCAAACAGACAGATTCCCAGATTGGTTCAGAGAAAGCGTGTCCCCTGATTGACATCTATATTCTCATAACAGTAAATAAATAGCTTTCAGCAGCTTCATCCCCCTGATAGTTATAAACACACGGTAGATAGCTATAGATAGAAAAGCAAGGTCAGAAACGAAGAGACAAAGAAAGATGGAATGAAAGAAGGAAAGAACAGAACACATGAACATACAAAGAAAGGAAGCCATGAACGATGGCACACGGCAAGAAGAGAAACAACACACAAGAAAGACTAGTGTTCCTAAAAATTGAAACTTCTGCCCACCGGCTGCACCGGCTCGACTCTACTGGTTCCTTGATACATTTATCCTGAGAACCTCTGGACCCCTGACCCTCAGGCATAGAGGGAAAGATCCCCCGATGGCCTAAGGCCGATATTGGGAGGAGGCCTTGACCAGCCATTCAACAGGTACGCCACATCCGATTCGCGTGCAAGTCCGGCCTGGATGAACAGGGCAAAGAAAAGAAGGAAGCGCCCGAATCTGTATTGACCTTCTTGTTTGGGCGGCGTGTTAAAACGTGAATAAAGGAATTGGCCTTTTCAACTTCCAGGTTCCAGGAAAGTGCAATGATAGAAATTCCTAGGCGGTTGCCCGGTTACCCCCCTAGTTGCGTTTGTGAGGGGTCAGAATGGCTCCCCTCTTTCTTTCTTCTTTTTGGGAGGGGGCGGGGGAATCCGTCGATGTCCCGCACCATTGACGCGGGGACTCGTTCGATTGAAGTGGGCGCCTCTGCTGTAGGAGGGTACTGTCTCGTGGACTTGTGGCTGTAAAGGGAAGCCAAAAGGAAGAACACAATTTTGCGAATTGCCCTCTCACCCAAATAGAACAAGTCAGGGGCCCTTTTCGTTGGTCTAAAAAAGAGGGAGACATACCATGCAATTATTATTTTTGCATCTCGGCATGCGGCTTGGGCGCATGATGATGCCACAAGCCCAGACGTCGCAGCTGTTGGTGTACCTAGCGATTTGCCCGGATCTGCCCGAGTCCGATTGAGGAAAGAGCGTACGGCGAATTTAATGGCCGCGGCTTTCCGATGCTACTTGGGTTGAGTCCAATCCTGGGTGTGGCTGGGCGAAAAATCAGAGGGGCAGAACATGATTAATTCACCGCGCATGTCCAGGTCCAGGGTTGGCATTGCGACAGATTTGTTGGCCGCGCACCTCGGCACAACCAATATTAACATTCAAAAAGCAGATCCCACACATAGCTTCATGGACCCCGGGACCTCTTCGCTGCGGGCATTTCGGATTGAAGTGCTGCGCGGGAACTTGCTGGTCCCATAGTGGAACAGGTCGAGAGCCTTTTTAAATGAAGACCCTGTAAAACAAAAAAACACTTAGGCCGATGCCTCCAAATTAAACTTTGGTGGGAAATGTCCTGACTCCCTCCACGTAAAAACTCTCAAAGTTGCGAGCCGCGTTGAGGTTGGGTTTGGACAGGTCGGCTGGCTTCCCCATACCAGCCTCACTGATGCGTGGAAGGGTCACATGGTTCAGCCATGCCTTCCCCTGGCAAGAAATGTGAATCTCTTGGCGATGGATTAGCTTCGTTCGTTGACGTCCAACTAAAAGATACACCACTTAAGCGGGAAATGGCGCACTCTTTGAACGTTCAAGCGTTGGGGTTAGCCCAAATAAGTCAGCCAGCGCGTGAAGCCAACCCATAGCTGTGTGAAGTCAACCCAACCGCACTTCTGACGAAAGTCCCAGGCACACTCCGAGGCAACATAGGCGTTGAACAGCATGGTGGCAAAAAAGACAGGGGCATACAAACCACTGGGAAAATGGGCAAGTGCAGTCGGAGAAGATACAAACCTCTGGACAAAATGTGTCCGAACTATGTGCTGCTAGTGGGAATCCTGAGGGGGCCACACTTGTCGAGTCGACTTCGCGCAAGCCGAGCCGGCTCAAGCACCCAGTGACGAGTCTTCTGGGAACCCAACTAACTGGGCCAGACTCATAGGGTACCAACTCCAAGCAAACTCGCCCAGTTTGTCCTGTGTCCCTGACAAAAAAAATAAGCATATGTGGCAACTAGGGTCAATCCCATGGTTGATGCATGGTCAATTCTCCCGGATGACCATCTTTTCACCGGGTGTTTTGACTACACGGTGCAACTCTCCGTTCCTCATGTGTGCCTATAAGATGTGGCAACCATGGTCAATCCTCAAGGTCAATTTTCCCGGATGAGCGTACTGTGTGTTTTGACAATGCTGGGGGGATTCCATGGAGCCACGTCCCCACCCGGCGACCAAAAAAAAAGCGCTCGTTTCTCCAACTCCGCTGCTCTTCGCGAGCGGTCAGCTTTCGCAACGCGAAAGAGGTGCGCGCGTAATTTCGCGCGGAGGCCGCCTGAGGACGATCTGGGGCTATCCAGGGACGGGCCCTTCAAATCGTGATTCTTTTGGTAGCGACCCTTGTTAGGGCTGGTTAAATGGCAAACCAAAGGGGGCACCATCTAGATTTCTGGTATTGCCTAGGTGGGTGATCCGTTCCGAACTGCAAGCCTTACCCAAATGGGTCTGTCTTGTTTTGTAGCTACCCTTTTTGGGGCTGGATTAAAGGGACGCCACCCATTTTCGGGGATTCCCTAAAAAAGACACGCCCAAACAAATGACCGACAGTATTGCTGCAGATCCAATGAGACTGCCCAAATCCAATGCCCATTGACCTGCAAAACCGATGGCCATGGCCAGAAGATGGCCTCTAGTTTTGAGGTCGTTGCCTTTAGAGAGGGAAACCACTCTTCAAATAGGACAACGGGCACCACTGGACATCTGGGATGGTGAGGCATATTTAAGCATCTACCATGGATCAGAATCTTCCTGTCCCAAGTCATGCACAAACCTAGCCCTCACATGTTGGCTTCCCGCATGGGTTCCTCAAACCTCAGATGCCCTGTGGCCATGGGAAAAAAAAGCCATCCTTTTTGGGTTGGCTGTTTTTTTTTGCATCTCAGCTTAGAATGGGGATTTCCACGTTGAAGAACATTGTTAATTGGGATTCTTACTTCACAACTCTTGTTTTTAGAGAACGTTCTTTCCCGATATATTGGACTTCAAAGGGGAACCCTTCCCAAAGGAAAGTCGAAAACAGGAAGCAACCCACTGGGAAATGACGGACACCAGTTGTTGAAGCTACCACTTGGACGCACCACAATCCAATGGCTGGGAGCCGTCGAGGCGAATGGAACCCAGTGGATCCATTTACCTGGAGGTAACCAAGGGAAACACCCAAGATAAAGAAACAAAACAAAACAAACAATAGCGCAGGGTTGCCTACTTTTTTTGGTTTGCCTGGGATCCACTGGGGATATGGCCATGGGTCAAAATCCAAATTCCGTACCTCCAGTGAACATCCCAATCACCACTAAAATGGGTTCTAAAATAGGCGGTGCACCTACCCCAAAATGGGATCCCATTGGTTTTGAGCCCACAGCCATATGGCATATGGGGCTGGGTTGCTTTCCGAACCAAGACCGTGAGAGGGGGGGTGGTGGCATCCTGGCATCCTGGCATCCTGCCTCGCCGGGGAGCGGAGACATCCTCCGCAACTGCGGGCCACCGGTCCCCAAAACCCCTCTGGGTTGTTCAATGGAGACTCTGGGTCTTCCATTCCAAGCCGAAGCCAGGAGCATGTGGGAAGGTGATATATATGTCTGCTTTTAGGATTCGGACCATCTAAAACTCACAAACAAGAAAAGGGGCTTCCCCCTAGTTGGTGGTTTGGAGACCGGTGCATTTTTGGGGTGTTCCGAGGTGGTGTCCCATCCCTCTGCGAGAACCGATTCAAATCCCAACCACCAATCCAAACCACCACAACTGAGAGTTACCCGAGGAAAAAACATAACTTGCAGAAAATGATTGCGTGGTTTCCAGAAAGATCAACCAGAACCTTGGAAAGGGGGCCGGGCTACCTTGCTCAAAGTGAGAGTTGGAGTCACCGTCATGACATCTGGACGTGTCTCAAAATGGGGGACCCCCCGTTCGGATGGTTTCAAAGGGAATCCACAAGCAAACCACCAAAAAGATCCCGAATTTTCACGAATCCCCCATATTTAGAGAGCCTGGCAGGACGACTTTTTCCGGGTGGATTTGTCCGGCGCCCGGCGCGCGGTCCTGGCGGTACTCAAAGCTGCGGGGGCGGCACTGAGGTGAAGCTGCGCTCGCCTGGAAATTTTCGGAGTCCACCGAAGCCACGGCGACGGCGATTTTTTTCGGCGCCCTCCCGACTGGGGCGTGGGATGTTTTGGTCCATAGACAACAGACACGGCTGTGGGTCAAAAATGGGTAGCCCAAAATGGCACCCTGGATCACCCTGGTAAATGGAAACAATGACCAAAACCTGTGCTCCCCTGATGTTTTTTTTTTTTTTTTGGTTTAAAGAAAGTGGGGCTTCAGAAGGTGGCAAATTCAACCCACACAACCACACAAAGCGCGCTTTATGTCTCACTTTCGATGGAGTAGATTCGCCAGGAAAAGGTGCCAAACGGTGTTTGTTTACCACTAAAACTTGATTCATCCCATCTGCAAGATGTCGTCCTTTGTGTGATCACTACCTGAGGAAGTTTGAATTAGGGATTCTTACAGGGGTGAGCCTTAGGTTACATTTTGAAGGGCGAGACAAAATTCACGGGTTCACGTGACTGCACATCGAGTCGCTTTCTCCCTTCCCGCCAAAATCAGCAATAGCAAGCGAGGCAAAAGCGCGCGGTACATCCAAGCGCCATGTCCCACGCACTGACATCGCACATGCGGCTGAGGGTCAAAAATAATTACGTACCCAAAATGGCACCCTGGTTAATGGAAATGACTAAAACTTGTGGTCCCCCGGTCCTTTAATTTTGACCCATACCCATGTGGCCCAAAAATTCGCCAGAGGCCGATCCATGCCAGCTTCGGGCCCCAAGAGGAGCGAAGCGAAGAGACTTGTCGGTTTCCATGTTGGGGGGGTGGAAAAACATGTTCTCTTTCCTCAGTTGGTCAGTGACCCTGGAAAAAAAGGAACCCTTTTTTGGGAAGACCATTTTAGTGGGGCAGCCACTCAAAAAAAAGGGAAAAAGGGAGCCACTGAACAACTGAGTTTCCCATAAAACCCCCCAAAAAAGGCACCCCAGAAGGAAAGTCCTCTTGAACCAGGCGTTGTGGTTCCCTGTGAATCTGCAGAAGAGTGTTTGTTTTTTGCTTTGGGTGGTCTAAACGATCAACTTTGCGACATGTGTTTGTTCGACAAAATATCTCTCTTCACTATTTTCTGTGTTTGAAGGGGTTCCACTATCCTCCCTGCACCTCACGCGGAACTCAGAACCTTCGGGAGCCACTATCGTGGGTGCCCAGGGACAAGCATCAGAGGTAAGAATACCTGGAAACCTACTATACTGGCAACTGGAAGCACCGACGTGTGACTACTTTGGCTATCTTAAGGAATATTTCCCTGGTGTCACAGAAAAAGTGGTTCTAAAACCCAGCCCATTTCCCGAGCGGCTCATAGTCTCCCCTGCTGATTCCCTCAGTCTTCAAACCAAAACAACAACAAAACGCAAACAACATCACATTCACCTTTACCCCAATTGTGGTGTCGGCTTTGCAGGATGAAGCGCCCCCAAACAAACCCAAGGCAGGCCACGAGAGGAACCCCGCCCCACGCGCCGCCCTCACGCCGAGCGCGCCTGACTCACTGGGCGGGGGCACCTCCGTAAAGCGCTCCGGACTTCTCGGCTTCTCGGGCGATGGGAAGCTGCCTGCGGCAGCGTTTGAAGGGTCGAGTTGCTGGAAAATTCTGGAGGGCATGGCCCCAAAACGCGCCCAAAATGGCCCCAACACGGCCCCAAAATGGCCCCAAGATGGCCCTGAAACACCCCAAAATCGGACATCAACCCCTTGAACAGAGTTTCCTACTATGGGTTTGCCTGGGATCCACTGGGAATTCCAAAGCCTGAAACAAGAAACGGATCGTGAAGGCAAATGGAATCCACACATCTCCGGCAAAATGCCCGGGCTTAAAGGTAAAATGATTGAAGCGTGGGGCCAGTCACTTGTTCAAATATGGGTGGCTCGACTCTTTTCGCGGGCCCCTTTTTTGTAACTTTCCAGGAAAACCAACAGGACCACCGAAGCCCATTCTGGAGGGCCCAAGCTTTAAAAAAGAAAAGCGCACACCCACCCATCTGGCTCTGAAATTGACCCGGGGAAGCCCCCCTTCGGGTCCTGAAGTAAAATCGGTCCATACCCAGAGGTTGAAATTTCAAAGGTTTCCCAAGGCTTCCGGGGAAGCGAGCCCGAAGTCCCCAAATGATTTGGTGGCCCGCGATCAATTTTTTGGGATTCGGACCCGCCAAGCAAAGCGCGGGGACCCTCCAAAAAGGCACACTGAAAACTCAACTTAAGGGGTTTTCCGTTGTTGGGTTTGCCAAGACGTGCAACCTTCAAACAAGACACTCAACGAAATCAAAAGGAACCCTATAGTGACCACGGCTTTCCGTTTCTGGGTTCCCTTTAAAAGCCACCAACAAGTAGATCCCTGCCCCCAAAAAAAACAAATAAATTAATAAGAAAAGTGCATTCCGTGTCCGGTTTCCCTTCAACCGCCAAAAAGTAAAAAAAAAAAAAAACAAAAAAAAAGTATGACACACCTTTCAGGGGAGCCCCGCGTCACCGAGGAAGGACCTGGGCTGGCGCCGTTGCCCTTGGGCGTCTGCCCCGCCTTCCCGGGCCGCCGGCGCGAAGACCGAGGGCACACCGAAGCCGCCGTCCTGCGAGCGACGAGCGGCGCGACGCCGCGGCGTCGGCGCAAGGCGGGGGCCTGTTGGCCCCCGGTGATTCCAGTAGACGGGTAAGTAGGTGGTAGGTAGGTAGGTAGGTAGGTAGGTAGGTAGATAAGTAGGTAAGTAGACAGGTAAGTAGGTAAGTAGGTAAGTAGGTAGGTAGGTAGGTAGGTAGGTAGGTAGGTAGATAAGTAGGTAAGTAGACAGGTAAGTAGGTAAGTAGGTAAGTAGGTAGGTAGGTAGGTAGGTAGGTAGGTAGGTAGGTAGATAAGTAGGTAAGTAGACAGGTAAGTAGGTAAGTAGGTAAGTAGGTAGGTAGGTAGGTAGGTAGGTAGGTAGGTAGGTAGAGATAAGTAGGTAAGTAACAGGTAAGTAGGTAGAGTTAGGTAGGTAGGGTAGGTAGGTAGGTAGGTAGGTAGGTAGGTAGGTAGGTAGTAGTAGGTAGGTAGGTAGGTAGGTAGGTAGGTAGGTAGGTAGGTAGATAAGTAGGTAAGTAGGTAAGTAGACAGGTAGGTAAGGTAGGTAAGTAGGTAGGTAGGTAGGTAGGTAGGTAGGTAGGTAGGTAGATAAGTAGGTAAGTAGCAGGTAGGTAGGTAGTAAGGTAGGTAAGTAGAGTAAGTAGGTAAGTAGGTAAGTAGGTAGGTAGGGTAGGTAAGGTAGGTAGGTAGGTAGGTAAGGGTAAGTAGGTAAGTAGGTAGGTAGGTAGGTAGGTAGGTAGGTAGGTAGGTAGTAAGTAGGTAAGTAGACAGGTAAGTAGGTAAGTAGGTAAGTAGGTAGGTAGGTAGGTAGGTAGGTAGGTAGGTAGGTAGGTAGGTAGAGATAAGTAGGTAAGTAGACAGGTAAGTAGGTAAGTAGGTAAGTAGGTAGGTAGGTAGGTAGGTAGGTAGGTAGGTAGGTAGGTAGGTAGGTAGGTAGATAAGTAGGTAAGTAGACAGGTAAGTAGGTAAGTAGGTAAGTAGGTAGGTAGGTAGGTAGGTAGGTAGGTAGGTAGGTAGGTAGGTTGGTAGGTAGGTAGGTAGGTAGGTAGGTAGGTAGATAAGTAGGTAAGTAGACAGGTAAGTAGGTAAGTAGGTAAGTAGGTAGGTAGGTAGGTAGGTAGGTAGGTAGGTAGGTAGGTAGGTAGGTAGGGTGGCAGGTAGGTAGGTAGGTAGGTAGCTAGGTGTTTGTGTGTGTCTGTGTATGTATGCTTACTCATCTTCCATGTGCTTAAGTCCCCTGAAACAAATATATTTCCAGTAGGGAAATAGATTCAATTGAAAACCAACAGGGGAAAATACACATGCTCTCCAGCAAATGGAAGTCATATAGAACCATGTTTTGTTTTAATGAGTGGTTCCCACAAAAGGACATGGGTGGTTCTTGTTTGTCTATTTCTAGGATTTGGACCCCGCCGCAAAAAGGACATAGATGTTGCTTCTTCTTTTGGGATTTGGACTCCCCCAAAAATGCATGTTGGTATTCTCGTTGGTGTCCTCTCAAACCCAATCAAACAAGGGTTCCCCCCAAACAAGACACACCCACATGGGCAATGGAGTGAGGTGGGAAATTTAGAGTTGGCCGCAACTTCCTCCTAAATGAACCCTGTAATACTGGCGCGTACTTGCCTTGAGCTACCATGAAAACCTGGTGCCAAGGTGGATGCCTTTGAAAACCACTGGAAGGGGGGTTGCCGCAAGTAAGCTCATATTCGAGTCATCTCGGCTCACATGTTGGTTGCAGATTTATGCCATATTCTGGAGCAATATTGCCCAAAATAGAACAAGTTTGGAGGAGACCCCAGCCACAATCAAACCCTGGTTGGACTGTTCTGTACCATCCTTCACTTGCCCAGGTATTGATTGTGCCTCGCTAGAAAAATAAGGCTAACGACGAGACCAGGACAAAACATGTCCAAAAGGTCGGCTATTCGAAACATGCCTAATTTTATATGAGGGTCCAATAACTTGTTCTTATGATCACACCGACGACTCACCTCCTGTGTGGATGGCAGCAAAGTAGCCTTAACATAATATGGGTCTGTGGGTGCTTCTCTTTCTTCTACTTGAAACTCTCTGGTAGACATCATTTGAGGACTTATGTCCAGCATCCACTGTCGAGGTGGCTCCCCCTCAAAATCCCATATTTGTTGCCATGTTGTTTACCACCAAAGCGGTCTTCCCAAGAACCAAGTCCTGGGGAGTGAGACTTCGAGACCCGGGAAGACCGGGACTCGCTGGCGTTGTTGGGTGTGAGCTAAGGGCTGGAGCAATTGTGGCCACTTCGACTTGTTTCGGGGCAACGGGTCCCAAACATCGCTAAAACTTGAGGAGACCAAAAGTCTAGGTTGCTATCAAACCAACTGGGACATCCACTTGAGGAGACCAACCACTTGGAGACTTGAGTTGGCAAACCCGAAAACAATCAAACACACACACATACATATATATGTATGTATGGATATATCTATGTATATCTCTATATATGTTATCATATATATATATATATCCAGCCTCTATGATCCAACTCCAAAAGAATATTCATAGGGGTGTTGGCCCTGATGGCTTCTTGGGGAAACTGCTGCCATTTGGCCAACCGCCGGGTCGTGGAAGGCGAGCCAGGGAGCCTTCAACCGCGCGCACCCCGTCCACATCAACAAGACTAGCTCCATTCAAACATTTGGCCGACGAGGATTCACTCACTCGGTTGCTTTCTGCTCCCCTGCTAAAAGTGACTAACTTTTAGTGGTTTGGTGGAAAACCCATTAGTTGGCAAAAAGTTACAGTCCTAACAGCCAAGCAAAATGCACCGAAGCTCAAACTGCCATCCGGACATTTCCATGCGCGCTGTGCTCGTCTTTCTTTACATGGGTATGGCTCCACCAGACCGCAGGTGTTAGTCCTTGGTTGCGTAAGGTAACCCATTTTGGGGTTACCCTATTTGACGCAACCCCAAACAGATTCAAATACAGGGTCGCCCCCTTTTTGAGGCTACCCATTCGGGGCTTGCCTGTATTGGGTCCTTTAATTTACATGTCCTTGAAATTGACATGGTTGAAATCGCCCTCTAAATGTTGGTTCTTAGCGAAACCACCCCCAAAAGCGGTTTGTAATACCCTCAATATGTTCACTTTAAGGGGCACAAATGCTTAAAGGGGATGCCCAAAGCAACCCAAGCCTTTGGCAAGTTTTTGGCGCACGTCTCCTGCGGAGTGGCGCGCTTCACATCTACCCACTTGCCGTCCAAGGCCTTAGTTTGAATTGACTAACCTGCAGAGTCAGAGTCAGGGGGGAGGGCGGGGGGTCTGGAAAAAAACACATCGACAACCAGCACCCGGGTCCCAACTCGCCTGCTTTCACTGTCCAAAATCCCAAAAAGTGTGGCTGGGGTGCTGGAATATTGCCTTGTGCTTCTCTTTCCTGTCTTTTAAAACTTTTGGAACCTTGAAACATAGGTGGGCTAGCTAGCTTATCAGTCGCGCAATAGCAGCTGAAACCCACCCCGCTTCGCAGCTTATCAGTCGTGCAATAGAATAGCAGCTGAAACCAAGTTCAAAGACCTCGGAACGAAAGGGCGCCCTTTGGTGGCTGATTTTAGAGGAAGCCTCAAAAAGGGAAGAAACTGCCCCCAAAGGTCTAGGCTTTTCCTTCCTTAGCTCTTGGAAGCAAGTTGGCGCCAAGGGCGCCATCCTAACAGGGTTCCCAGCTTCTGTTCCCTTCAACCGCCCACTCCTACCGCGGAAAATTATTCACGAAATGGGGGGGGGGGGCAAACGGGTGATGCTTCAACCCACCAGCTCCAAATCACGAGCTCAATTCAGAAACCAGTGGTTCTCGGAAGAAAAGCACCAAAGTTTCAAGCAACTACTGGCAAACCACCCCTATGAGAAAAAAGGGTAAGGGCAAAAGTGTATAAGTAAGTTGTTGCGCGGAGTAGCGCTGTGGGGACAGTGGAAACCTTCTTAGAACTACTTGATAGCAAAAATGGGCGCTAGGTTAATCAATCAACATGTTTCACATTCGCCTGACCCTTGAACAGTCCCAGCAGGTAAAAATCAACAATTTATTGAATGCAACGTTCAACATATGTCCAAACATTGCACATCGTCCTGACGATGCTTGCCTCCTTTAGGGACAATAAGTAAACTGGAACATATTGTGTTGCAACCTCACATCCGCCAACCGTGACCCGAAGCCTCTGCTTAAGGTGTGGCCCATGCAAAAAGTTGGGCTGTCCGCTTAGATGGAAACCACCACCTTTCCCAGCAAGGTTAATTCCGTCCGAGGGCAAGCTGAGGGGAGACCTCAAGGGGAGTGGTGCCCGTTTTCAGAGCTGCGCTACAACTCACTTGCGTTGAAACTCCCATTCCACTTGGAGGCAAACAGTTAAACACACTCAAGAGTTTTACACGTCCAATGCGGCGGACTCGGGGGAATGAGTCACTCTCCCCTCACTCAGTGCTGGAAAGCACCAGTCTAGAAAGGGAGCCATATGTGCCATGGGCAAACCTGCGTATGGTTCATGGCTCATAGAAATCCAATTACATTTGTTGTCTGAAAAAACCCAAGCACCCTACTAGAGGGTCCATGACCAGCCCTAGCCCCCAGCACAGAGGTGCTTTCACCACGGCACATAGCTTGGTTGACGTCGGAAGGGGAGCCAAAACTTAAATTTTAGCAGTTGAGTGGGGATTTCCCAGGAAACCGCAGAAAGCAAAAATGTACAAATGCTTCCCAACAACAACCATGATATGAGACCATCATATAACACAGCATGGTAAGAAAACCTTGTCGCCTGCTGCGTTTGCCTCAAGACCGCCGCTTTTTGTTTGGTTTGCAGCCACTCCTCAGAGGGTGGTTTTCATGAGGCATGGAATGGCTAGGTCCTCCAGTAGAGAGGTTAGAATACAGGTACCCTGTTTCTGTAGTCAATTTTAGTAGGAATCGGAACCCTCCCCCAAAAAAAGGGGAGAGAAGGGCACTACTGGGGGACCTAGGAATGGCCACTGGAAAGCCCTGGACAGCCGTAGTTGGGCCAAGAACGTGCGTTCCATAGTCTCGGATAGCTGCCTGAGATCAGACGAAAGGCGAACTGAGACCCGACCCCAAAGAGAAAAACATCCCACCCAGCCAATCGAATTTGTTTGCCGCCGGAATCATGCTCAAGGGAAACTACCGCAACAACAGGGGAACAATCCAGTTGCAAACCCTGGCCTCTTTTGGACTTTGTGCCGAGGAGAAGACCCTCGAATGTGTTTCGCGCAGGCTCAGCCCTGATTTGGAAGTGCTGGTGAGAGACCAATGGGAACAACAGCGAAAGTGGCGCCAGTAAACAACCAGAATGGACAGGATGTACGGACCACAGGAAAACTCGGCTGGAGGGGTCACTGATAAGCACGCATAAAACAAACAATGCCATTCGTTCAGGGTTCGCTCGAATCATTGAAACTCGGCTCTTCGCAAAACCGCGCGTGTCGGAACCGCCCAAATAAGCTTCCGGCAACGTCTAACAACTGCAGAGCGATCGATCGACCTCAACCGTCGGTGCCTGTCACGTGCCTGTCAATTCAAGTCGCAACAAAAGCATCCTAACTCATGTGGGACCTGGTTTCATATCGGTACCCTCTCACCAATTAACATGGAACCTGACGGCGGGTCCCTCTAATTAAAAGGAACATGGTCTTCCAGGACCCCCCTGTCAGGTTCCATGTTGATTGGCGGGAGGGTACCCTGAATAATCGTCCTCGGCTTAAACACGATCCCCCAAGCTGTTTGGCCTTCCCAGTAAATCCGGGGCGCAACCCCAAGTTGCCCCCAACCCTCGACTCGCAATGCCGTTTGCAATGCCAAACTGTCGATATCAAAACACGCAAGGATGACAAAGCCTTTGCCAAAGAACAAACATGGCAAACTGATATTGTCTTATGCTCTTGTGCTCAATCCGGCAAGCAAATATACATATTTATATGTGCATATGCATGTGTTAATATGTATTTATATATAATATATAATACATACCTTAGGTGGTGTATGTCCAAACCCAGGTCTGCTTCTCGGACTGTTCTGAGCAAATACGAACACGAAACCAACCGACAGGAGGGTGCCATTTCGGCCACATATACGGCTGTGGGTCAAAACGCAGGAAACCCCTGGCAAACATCAAAATAGGTGGCGAATGGATGTTTATCAAGCTCAAAGTGGAGCGATAGGTTATGCCCCATGGCCATATGATACTTCATTCAGAGCCTTTGAAGATGGCTGTATCGCCGGACAAATTCAACTCAAAGGCAGGCCATGCATCCCCCTCTTCGGCATGGAGAAAAACAAAAGTGACATGAAGAGAGCGCTGGACATGGGTGTTCGAAATCTTGCAAGATGCAACAAGCGTGTTGGCAGGCGTCTGAATGATGTTGGCTCATCAGCCTAAAATAAGGGAACCCAAGGAGAACAAATCAAAGCAAAAAACGTGATTCACCATACAGGTCGCTACAAGTTGCCCATAGGTGAGGTCGCTAGTTGCCCAAAGTCGCAAACTCTAACCGTCTCAAACATCTACAGGCGACACCAGTCGCAAAACTTCCAGCCAAAGGTGCCATGGTCAAAAGCCTTCTTTTGGAAGCTGTCCTGTCCTGGTTCCCTTTATTTACGAACCTTTGCATTTGTTATGTGTGTTTGAAGAAAAGTCAAGTTGATCATTCCTAGCCCAATTAGAGAATTAGCATAATTCACTTAATCGGTCTTTTGTCCATGGCACAAATGGCCGACTAATCTTCAGGCTGAGTTGCTTCCGCGCATGAGACATGCTCAAAGACTACAAAGCCGAAACCGCGAGGCTTCCCTGTGTTTTTGTCCATCATGACCTCGCAACAGCGACGGAGAGGACAGGGGCATGTGTCAAAAAGTAGAAAGCAAGGTGGGTTTTCGTTTGGCTTTCCTTCAGACAAACACACACACAAATCTACAGGATCACAAAACACATCTGCTCTAGAAAGACTGCACTGCTTACCATAGTCTTCCCGAAACAAAGTGACAAGTAAGGTACTCCGACATCGTAAAGGCGAAATCTTTCGCACACACTTAAATTCAGTCACCCTCTCTCAAACCATCATTGAAGTGGATAGGAGGCTGCCCAAAAACGAAAATAGTTTTCTGAAGCCTCCTGTCAACGTCCATGATTGTTAGAGTGGAAGGGACACCTGCAAGAAGCCTTCATTGGTCAAGTTCCCGATCGAGCGGACAAACCTGACGGCTAAGCCACAAATTGTTTTCTGTTTTTGATGAAGGGCTCCCTTCACAACCAGCTTTGCATGGTGCACAAAGGGCTGTCCACACGGCACCTTGGGACCCTGTTAACCAAATAGGACGGCTTCTGAAGGATATCATTTCCTTGCAAGTTGATTTCGAAAAGCCACTGTTGTGTCAGACAAAATGGCTTTTATGAAAGGCTCACAAAAGCCACACGGAGCAAAGAAATGAATCCCAAGCACTGGCGAAACTCATTCCAGAAGCTTCCCTGGGTACCTTGGATGCGAAGTTCTCACGGATGAGATGCCTTAATATCAAACACAACTTGGTGAGATATTGCCATACACCCCTTTAAACACTAAAAGTCTAGTCTAGCTATCTGGCTGGGAACTGAGACAACAACAGTTGAACCGAATCCATCTCTGCATTATGACGCCAGTTGAGGGTTTCATGGCGCGCAGCTCCAAAAGTGCGCAGCGAAAAACCGATGCTTCGTCCAGCTTCAACTTAGGCGGCTGCTTTCCTTTTTCCCCCCCAACAAAAACTGAAAACTGGCGGCTTTCCTCTTTGCCCCCAAAAAAATCCATCTGAAAACTGATGGTTTAAGCCTGTTCTCCTGCTTTCCCAGTAAGGAACTCTGGGCTGAGGCCGCGGCAACAGCGTCGGTGATTGGCCCATACTGACTGAAGTAACCTCACGTGCAGCTCATAACTCGGGCCTTCGGGCCTTGGACATTTTCCAAAGGCCTCTCTTGACTGTGCTCGATCTGGATCGATTCGTCACGTCAACAAACTCGGTTGCACACATTTGATTTCAGCAAGGCAGCTCATCATCCCCGATTTCTGAAACCCTGGTTTGCAGCTCTGCTCTTGTCAACCGGCTGCCTTAAAAGATCTTTAAAAGGGCTGCGGAATGCTGCGGACCTATTCGATCCAGGATGGCTACCTGAAACTTCTGAAACCTCAGGCCCCCAAGATGCTCTTTGACTCTCACTGCGAAAAGTTCGCGAGGAACATTCACATGTCCAATTGTATGAACCCCGCGCGTGAACTTCTATGGTTACACTCCCCTGCAAATTATCATGTTCCCTTCTCCCCAACAGCAGGTTCCACTAGTGCTGGCGGGTTCTACGGGATTCAATCCGGGGACGGTATGGGCCGGTAAAACCCCAGGTGCCAGCCAACGAGAGAGACAAAAGGAGCATCTGGCCAAGGAACTCGTGAGCATCTCGAGGGTGCAATGGTGCGGCAGCCCTCCTACGAAGATCTTCTCGCGATCCTAAGATCCAGGGAAAGGGCTGAGGGACCTTCTTGGGTGCAAGGGAACAATCTATCAACACCTCGGACACCCCAGAAAGGCCCTTTTGGTTTCCCCTTACCACGCAAAAAATGGGTTACCTTAGAAAAGGACGAGCAGCCCATATTGTGAGGACGTCCACCAAGGAACAGCCGAGTTGCGGTTGGGTTCTTGTTCCTTTCTTTGACTTCAACCCCCAGCAATCCTCCGGGGAAATCACCACCCGCGGGTTTTGAAAGGGCTATCAAAAACTGGAATGTCCCAAACCGGGGGCCCTTGAAGGAAGTACAGGGCGATCGATTGTCCTTACCCCTTTCACTTAAACCAACATGGCACTCTTGGCTGTACAAAAGGGGTTTGTTCGATTCGGGCAAGATTACTCGACTTGGGGAGGTCTCTAGGAAATCAACCCCGAAATCAACCCCAGGCTCACTGCGCTCCTGTGACACGCCAGCTCCTTTACTTCGAGAAGCACGAGGTTTGAGGAAGCACATGTGTGTCTCAAAATAGGAAACCCAAAAATTGGTTGTCCCTTTATGTCTCTACAAGCCACCCAACAAAGGGTACCCTCAAAAAAGGACACACCCATGTCGTGTTGGCAATTGAAGAAAGCAGTTGTTTCCCAAATAAGTTAACAAGAACCAAACCACAGAGTAAGCACGTGTGCATCTTCAGTTCCGGACACCACCAACAACCCACGCACGAGTCACCTCGGTTGAGTTGCGCCAAGTGACCGATGCGCCTTTCAGTCCTCAGCTGCTGCGTACCCACAAATCTCTGCTGTTTTGAGGGGCATGAGGTCAATCCCTGATCGATTAACAGCGGCATATAACGTGGAAGACCTGGTTGTTCAGCAATTACCAACAAAGAAGTGGGTATTTGCCGTCGCTGGCGCGAATGTGTCAATGGAAAACCCTCTCAAAACTCGGTTGCTTTCTGCTCCCCTGCCTAAAGTTTTACTTTTAGGGGCTTAATGGAAAACCCATTAGTTGGCAAACAGTTAGAGTCCCAACATACAAGCAAAATGCACCAAAGAAAATACCCTCAAAATGGAAAGGGGGTTCTTTGGTACTGTCTTACGAGACTTAGGACTGTTCAGGCCTTGGTGGGAGAGGGAGAAGTACATGACTGGCAGCATACACGTTCACTTGTCAACTACTCCTCTAAGATACACCCCCGCAAGAGCCTGCAGATATGGAGGAAGCGGGGATATGGGGGGATTCCCTTGGCGCCATTTCCCATATCAAACTAAGGTGCATCAAACGGGGGAATCCTCCCGTATCAACCTGCTTCTCTCCGAATTATGTGCTAGTTGGTTTCCCTGAAAAGTATCCCACAACCCAAGTCTTATTCCTTGGGCCCTGGCAGTGTCACCAGAAAACACACGCAACAGCCACATGGCCCAAAAAAACATGCGGTCGAGGCTCCTGCGATGGACGGCCCCGACGGATTCATCGCCATAGGTGCCGTCTGCGGCATCGCGGGCATCGCCATCATCGGCGCCATGGCGGGCGGCGCCATCATCGGCAGCGAGGGGCCCACGACGGGCGCGGCGAAGCAAGGCTTCGTGAGCCTGAGCTTCGAACGTCCCATGGTGGGGCCCCCACAAAACAGCTGCCCAAAAAGGAACTTGATCATTAGCCTATAATTGACGGGTGGGATTTTTCAAGCCAATTGGGATTGAGTGGGGCCCTGGGACCCCCTTGACAAAGTAGTGGAGGGCCTCGCCTAGCAAATAAATTGCTTCATACATACCCCCCACCCTACATTTTTTTTCATCTTCCATCTTCTACCCTTATTTGTTTTCATCATTTTTCTACATTCCTTTCTGTCCATCTCATCCGTTTTTTTATCATCATTTTTCCAAAATTTTCGCCATCCTTTTCTCCTTCCTCCTCGCCTCATTCATTTCATCATATACCTCTCAAAATGTCATTTCCTCAATCTCCTCGCCTCATCCATTTCAAAAAAATAAATTTTGCAAAATATATTGCAAAAAATATTTGTCATCAAAAAATTTTTCGAACTGTCTAAAAACGATTTGTCCATTTCCCGGACAAAAAATAGAACAGCAACAACATCACTCCCTCCTTCGTTTCATCAGTTTCATCATATATTTGTTTAGGCGTGGTCGCATAGCTTGCGAGCTTCGCTAACGCTCGCATCCTCCTTGTAGGATTTTATCTTCAATATATAAAACGCTATACTTACATTATAATTATAACATATAAGGGTATAAATGTTATTATTATAGTATGATTAATAATTATGGGTTACATTTATAGTCAGGAAAAATGTCTTCAAATATGTAATCTACATATTTATCAATATCACCAATGTCTATATATTTGATATTGTCTTTTCCTATTATTGAATAAATATATTCCCAGAAAAACAAATTAACTAGTAGCCATACTTGATATTTAGTGTTGTAGTAAGACCATACATGATATTTAGTTATTCTAAATTCATTCAAGACCTCGTTTATTTTATCTTTACTTAATAAATGCCAATCAATCGCATCAAACATGCGTCGAAATTTTTTAACAAATGCTTTATATGGTTTAATTGCGTTTGTCCCTCCAAACCTCTTAATTAAATCTTTATTATTAAAGAACTCATCAATTTCTTTTTCAAATGACTTTCTAGCAATTTTATGGTAAAAACATACAGGACATCGTTTTTGATATCTCATAAAGAATTGCAATTGTAATTGAAACTTTGTATATCCCTTATCCTTATGTTCTTCAACAAAAAACTTTTCAAGGTCTCTTGTTATACAGCATTGATTACAATATACATCATATTCACTTATTTTATTACATAGATTAGCAGGTAATAACTTATACAATGTTGTATTAACATCATTCCTTTTAGTTGTACAACATTCGCACTTTGAATAATTAAATAACATTTCTATTATAATATATATTATGTTTATTTCTTTAAATACTTTTTTACAAGAAATAAAATTACATATTGAAATATAATTATAACATATAATATTTTACATGTTATTATTATATTATGATTATAATTTAAGTTCAGGATAATAATTTAATTGATACATCTTACCTCTTTCATACATCATTTTAAAAATAAGATTAATATCTCTCACTGTATTTTTAACATTAAACTGTTCACTTTCAATATATGATTTTATGACTTTTTTTACATCAACGCCGGGTTTACTATAATAAATCAACATCCATAATATGTCATTAATCATTTCACACTTTTTCTTACTGATTTTAAGAAACTGTTTAACATAATCGTAAGGTGGTCTTTCATACACAGTTAAAAATATCAATATTTCATCTTCAACATTTCTTTCATCTATATTTTTAAACGCCAAACAATTTTCTATTATATTTTGATATCGTCTCCATCTTCTACAAGTTCTACATATATTTTCTTCGTCCAAAGAATAATCAATAATACTATTAACTATTCCATTAGGTAAATTCAATTTGTATAATTCCATATTTTCTTTTTTTAAAGTGGCAACAATCGTAGCATTTCTTATTGATATAATTATTGATTTCGGTTTCCATCATTTCTATTATAATATATATAGTGTTTATTTCTTTAAATACTTTTTACAAGAAATAAAATTACATATTGAAATATAATTATAACATATAATATTTTACATGTTATTATTATATTATGATTATAATTTAAGTTCAGGATAATAATTTAATTGATATATCTTACCTCTTTCATACATCATTTTAAAAATAAGATTTATATCTCTCACTGTATTTTTAACATTAAACTTTTTATCTTCAATATTTGATTTAATGTCTTCTTTTACATCAAACCCTTCTCTTCTACGATATAACAATATCCATAAAATGTGGTTAATCATGTCATACTTTTTCTTACTGATTTTAAGAAACTGTTTAACATAAGCGTAAGGCGGTCTTTCATACACAGTTAAAAATATTAAGATGTCATCTTCAACATTTCTATTATGTCTTCTTTTCAGATTTAAATGACATCTGATTAATTCTTGATTATCTCTCCAGGTTTTACAATTTTCGCATATATCTTCTTCATCCATTGAATAATCAATAATATTATTAACTATTCCATTAGGTAAATTCAATTTGTATAATTCCATATTTTCCTTTTTGAAGTGGCAACAATCATAGCATTTTTTATTGATATAATTATTGATTTCGGTTTCCATCATTTCTATTATAATATATATAGTTTTTATTTCTTTAAATACTTTTTTCCAAGAAATAAATTTATACCTTTAATAACTCATGTCTCAAAAATGCCCTGTCATAATTTTCAATATAATAATATTCCTGTCCTAACTTCTTTTCAATCTTTGCTATTTTGTAGGTTTGTTTAGTCCATACTCCTACTCTCTCCTTTTCATTCGGTCTCCTTTTCCTGAATATCTTAACTTCATTTCCTACATTTAAATCTGGATAAACTCTATTTCTTTTGGCTTTCATACCTAAATTTAAACTCACTTCTAATTGATGTTTAGGCTTTCTTGCTTCTGACGGTGTTAAGCCGTGCGAAGTGTGCTTTATTCCATTGTTATAAGTTAATATAATCTCGTGTATGTAGTCTGTCCATTGAATAGCCTTTCCTTTTTTCTCATCGTTTTCAACCCTCTTATACAAGCTATCTTTAAACGTCCTTATCGCCCTCTCCGCAAATGCTGGGTGACCTCTGGTTCTATGTAATTCTATTTTTTCATCTTTCAAAAAATCTATAACACTTTGATTGTTATAAGCTCCTTCATCGTCAATATAAATTAGTTTGGGCTTTCCACCCATTTTTTTAATACATTCCATCAGTCCTGCTAAAATGTCCGCTGGCTGTTTTGACATAAGCGGGACAACAACCATATACTTAGAAAATATGTCAATACACATCATGCCAACTTTCATTTTTTGTTTAGGGATATCATTAATGAAAAATAAATCAATTTGAAACTCATAATATGCGTTAGGAGCTACAAATGAATTCTGTCCTCTTGGCTTGGCTTTCTGTTCTACATTCTTCCTAAAAAACTCATTAATATCGTTTATAGTTATTGTGTTATCCTTTTTTCTTGCTTCTTGTAAAGTGCGGTTCTTTGACCCGAAGCCTCCCTTATCATAATAAACATTATTAATAATATCTTGCTTAGATGCCATATAAAATAAGATAGATATTATTTTTCCCGGCGATTACAGTTTAAACAGTAAGATATACAGTTTTCCTTATGATGGGCATAATCGTTGTTTATTCTTTGGGCTGTCATATTGCTATTTATTACTCCATTATTTATTTCTATGTCAAAATCTGAACTGCATTTATTACATCTGGTATTCAGCCTGTTAAGCAACCATTCAACATCTATATATTTATTTTCATTTATCTCCCTTTGAGACTTCATGTCTTGTAATTTATATTGTTTAATCTTATGTTCTAAATATCTGGTTACTTGTGCTTCATTTAAATCAGTATCGTCTACGTCTGCTTTGAAAAACTTGACTTTATTGATATCTCTGCATCTCGTGAGGGCTGTCCAAATCCACTCACGGCTGACCAAATGTGATTTATCCCATTCGTGTATAGTAATGCTTTTATCTACAGAAGCCCCTTGAGACGAATGGCATGTAGCACAATACGCATGTATAAAGTGCTTGTCTAAAGTCGTGGTGTTTGTCATGAATATAGTTTTACTTTTGATATCTTGGATTTCTACTTTCCAATCATCAATACTAATAATTTCATAAGTAATATTTACATTAAACACCTGCCCCATTTCCTTTTTATAAACTCTGCATATCACATGCTCTCCAATTTCATATTTATCTGTCTTTCCTAAATTATTTCTTACGGTCTTGCTTACCCATTTGCACCTAGCATTAGTATAGGCTATGTTATGCTCTCCTTCCATGATGTCGCTTGTAGTTTCAAAATGTTTATTTACTATTTCCTTAATGGGCAGTTTATTTTTCCAAATGTCATTATATATATCATTCAATTTAATTTTATCTTCTTCTGTCTTAAGTCTCTTAGATATCTTAAGATAAATCTTATATTTAAATATTTGATTAAGACAGTTGTTTAAATATGTCTCGTGGTCCTGGGTGTTAGTTAAATCAGCTATAGGTTTCAACTGCTTCCCGTCAGCAGTTCCTATAATTATCTTCTCTGGGTATGTATCCTTAAACTCCCTAACTCTGTTCAAAATATAATTGCCCGCCATACCTAGCTCATCGAACACAATACAATTATAATCAGAATGGTCAAATGTCGGTAGTCTTTCTCCAGCTTCTATTGGAATACTGAAAAATTTGTTTAATGTTATGGCACCGGCTTCGGTTTCTTGCTTCTGCTTGTTGTTAGGACATACGAATAACACATTATAACCTAGATTTTTCATATATTCGCCTATATAACTCTTGCCACTTCCAGCCAGTTTTGCTTTTAGTAAAACCGGATGACACGACACAATTTGCTCACAAATGCTTTTGGTGTCGTATTCGTCTTTAACACGAATTTTTACATTATTGTAAGTCGGAATTTCTGATAACTCATTAACCTTAATTTTGT